CTACTAAGCACTGAGAATTTTTTGTCACTTATTGATTTCATACTGATGCTTGTCAACACCGCTATTAGTCATTATTCAACATCACATATGCTCTTCTCTCCAGTAGGTATGCACCAGTTAACTAGAACTGCTACATATCTAGAAATGATCAATTGTGGTTTCAATATAAGTTAAGTTAGATCTAAAATGTAATTGATGACTAGTTGTTGTGATCAAATTTAAATTTGATAAATAATGAATCGACATCAGTGGAGAAATAGTTGACTCAGTAAAAGATGATTTTCAAATAAGTAATATATGAGATCTCAAAGATCTTTAATTAATCAGCGAAAAATTTTGATTGTCTCTCCGTATCGATTTCATATCTTAAGTTAGAAATTCTAATGTTGTATTTTAGTTTTATGAAAATATTTCAAAAACAATTTTGTTTACAATCATTTCATATCAAATGATTAGAAGTTACAATGTTTGTTAGCGTTTCAAATAGAAGTATATCATCATCAGAATATATTTTTAAAGTATATTTTTTAAGTAAATATTTGAATAATATTCTCAGAAAAATATTGAATTAATCAATACAAGGTAGAACAAACTTGTTTATCTACGAAAATAAAAAAGAATCTTTCTGGAAAAAAATGTAAAACATTGACAAGTCTGCAGATGAATTGGCTGATTTCGTTTTCACGATTATCCTCACTAATTTTATATGAATATTACATACAGAGGTGCAGAATCTTCCTCATGCGTCCCCGCGTGGGGGGAGGGGGGAATATTTTGAAAAACTCAAACAATAGGGAAATTTTGGAAAAACCCGCTGGCCAAAAAAGATACAGTGGGGAAATTTTCCAAAAAATGTTTTTGCGTGGAGAGAAAATTTTGGATTTTTGGAAGATTCTGCATCTCTGATTACGTATCAAGCGATTGACAAAGAATATCTAGTATAGAAAAGTAAATCTTTCATTCTAACACAATATTTTTATTTCTTGCATATTTAATCGAATTAATAAATAAAAAGATATTATATTAATTAATTATAAAAAAAACAGAAATCTTTTGTGAAACATGATCTAAAAGAGAGTGTTGAAGTGTATATAGGGTAAAAATTGCCCCCCCCCCCCCCCCCCCCCCGATCGATCGTGACCGACACCCTAATTAATTAATTACCCATCAGAGACAGTGACCGACAGGCTTCCAAAACCATCACAGGGGGAGAGAGACGCAGTCTGGAGACTATCACATACTGTGATGGACGGCTTCATGGTACTGTGAGAGGTGATGTATAACTCAAGTCTAGTTAAAATATCTGTGAAGTATTTCCTGGTTGAAGTTCTATGATCTCAAGTAAGGAATAATGCGAAGCATACCCAGGTATACATGAAAAGACGAGTTTTTTAGGGAAATGGCAGCAATAGGTATATCGTGTTTCATATTCTAATCCCGCAGGGATTGCGCTAAAAGTTTTTTTTCTTACTCTGGCTATCAAACATAAGATATCGGTATACCAGAAACAGGATTCGCATTTCGATAGAATATTCACTTGTGTTACATCTGATGCCAAGAAAGTTGTTATCTTTTCTCATGATAATAACAAATTTTTCTCTGATAAATGTATTCATACAGAAATTTTTGTATCAAGATTGGCTGAAGTTTCATGGTATTTTTATTGTTGATGTTTCATTTCAATAGAGACAGTTTCTTATCTCAGGTGAGTCTGTGTGCTGCTCAAGCACGATGCACTGTGAAAAGCACTTATTGCATGTATCTTTAAGAGTCATAATAATAGTAATAATAATAATAAATCTAATATACGAGAAAAGAAAATTAAAAACAACTTGTATTTATTTCACACAAACTAAGGATGTACTTGATAAATATATGTTTATTAATCATAGATGAAAAAGATTTATATAAGAATAGGATCGATAGAAAAAAAACACATCTTTCGAATGAAAAGTAATGTTCATCTAAGCAGACAAGAATTTGGAAAAACGCGTTTAAACGCCTCAAAATGGAACCACAATTGCAATCTATTCAGAGTCAAAAGAAAAACGTAAAAAAACGTTATTTCTTGCGTTTTTCTTTTGGGCACGAATGAGCCCCAATTGCAGTACCAGACTATAGCGTTTAACGCGTTCTTTCAAATGCTTGTCTGTTTGAACAGCAGGAAAATGTTCTTGTTTTAAGAATTTGGATGTAAAAAATTGATATCTGTTATCTATTTTCAATCATTTATAGTCAGTCATATTGAATTATACAGAATTTAAAAAAAGATAAGCAAACAACCATTTTTCTTATATTCATATTTTAGCTCTTTTTCTTTATCCTCGGTAATTATTCGTGTGTCCTTTTCGCCCATTCGTTGACAGCAAAGTTTCACATATCTTTCTATATTGCCTTCAACAGGAAAAAAATGCACAGTGATTTTTTTCCGTCATGAATTAGACCGACGGATGCTCAATATTTTCATTGGATCGACTGAATAGAAACATTTTCTGTTGGATTTTTCCAGCTTATGTGACGAAGAGAAACGAACATTTTTTTTCTTTTCGGACATATATTAACAAAAACAAGTACAAGTGAAACAGCACATTCAAACATTACATCATAAAATATACTCTCAGTTAAATGCTATACAATGGTCTCCGTATGTATTTCCTTATGTTTTTCGATGTTTTCTTTTCATTGAATAGAAGACGTATGTATATAAAGGAAAGAAGATAATGTCTTCTTTCTAAAATGATCATTTTCTCGTGACCCTATAATACTAATCAACTTAACAATGGTTTATTCATTTGCAACTTATTTTTTTATCATATATACATCAACTTGAGATGTATGCACAGTAAAAATTCCACGCCAAAAGAATGTATTTTTAATCTGATATGAAAGTCACAAAAAAAATGCTTTTCTGGCGGTAGTGCCTTCAGAAAAATTAAAAGATCTTAATAATGGAAGATTTTTTTTTCAAAGAATTTACATCAATATGATCCGAACAGTTCAGTTTAGTTTCGATCTGTAGGATCTATTTAAATCAAGTTCTGATAGGATCTTGTGTATTCAAGCAGATTTTTCGATCATTTGATCTGAAACTGTTCGAATTTTATGTGTCAAAATTCTTAAAACTCTTTCTCTACAAGACATTCTATATAAAGCAACATCAAACGATCACCAAGATTGAGTAGCTTATGTGGATGTCCGGTCGTTGACTTATGCGAACTAGCTTATAATTTTTTTGAATATTTTCATATTCATTTTGTGTAGAAACTCTTATTGATCTACAATCATTCAGAACATAAATATTTCTAATAACAAGAAACATTAGTGACTTCTGTTGATTGTCTCAGCCCAATGATTTTTAAACTCAATAGAATATATTTGTTTAGAAGTTTAACGTTTGAAGTATGTACTTCCAAATATAGTAAGGTTAAGCTGAATAGCATTTGTTTGCTTTTCTGTTTCGAATCATATCACTGATTTATTCGCTGGCATATCGTATTAGCAGAAAAGTGTGAACATTTCCCGTATCTTCTGACTCTTTAGTCTGGAATAACAAATAAAATCTAGAATAGAAAGTATGATAGAAAAAACAATGGCATTTTTAAACTTCAACATGCAACGCAGGACAAAAGTTAGCTAAATAACATTAGTGAATAATTTTACATCTTTAATAGAAACATTTGTTCTTTCATATGTTTCTATAGCGAAAACTTTCTTCCTTAGTATAATAATTAGATGAAAAATTCAATTAATAAAAGTATAAGATTGAGACCATTGATTTTATATACTAACTGTGGAAGTTTCACATGAATGAAGACATATACTTATTTATCTAGAAAACGATCTTGTTTTATTTCAAGTCTTAAGGTTCCTATGTATTTTCTATTTAGAAATATTTTTTTTTTTTAATTTAAGTAACAACTTTGAACTGCAATGATGTTCATGAAGTCTTGATAAATGAATATAATTTTGTTTTTGTTTTCATTGGATGACATTAGTCATTTGATTAATGATTGAGAGTGATCGAATATGAGAAAAGAAAAGCATAACATAACTTTCATTTTAGATAAAACATGATTCGTATAACTAATATAGAAACATTACCTAATGAAATTCTTCTGTATATTTTTTCTTATCTATCTTGGTTTGATATGTTAACGTCTTTATGGTCATTGAATATTCGTTTCAATTCTCTTGTGTGTTCAACTCTTTCTATAAATGATAATCTATTGACATTAGGTTTATCTTATAATAAATGTTCAACATTATTACCATTGATTTTCAAATCATCATCTCTTTGTTCATCTATTCAACATGTTCATTGTGATAAAAAAAACTCAATGACTTGTGATCTTATTTATCAATGGTTATTTAATGATAAAAAAATCTTTCATTTTCCAAATCTTAAATCACTTATTCTTATTGCATGTATTGGATGTCAAAAATCCATCGAACCAGTATTTCAATGTTTATTTCATCTTATTGAAAACCAATTAGATGAACTTGCATTAACATTTAATGGGACAATTTTCAGAGACTGCATCAATAAAAGAGAAAATTTATCAAATATTTCTGATGAAGGTAATTAATCGTTGATTTCTACATAACAGATACTCATCACAAGCGGAACAAAATGTTTCTCTGTTTTTTCAGAGGACTTTCCCAGACACTGAAAACTTCGTTATAGGCTTATTCGACAGCTTTTTTTTCCCAATAAGTTTTTCTCATCGGTGAAAAGTTGAAAAGGCTATCAGGTACTTAGCTGCTCAACAGCCATCTCGTATTTTTTTTTCGGACATCTATAGATTTGTGTAATTCTGTGCTGATCAAGTTCGATGTTAAACGTAATGTATTCAGCATCAATAGATACAGAATTTTCTACTCTATAGTTCGAAGATCTTTCTAAGGCTTTTGATAGTGTTGTTCATGTGCAAAAGACATGAATCAACACCTGACAGTATTTTATTTTGTATGCGCTTTCGAAACTCATGTTTTCAAATCGGTCGTGCTCTATGAACGATTTATTATTATACTATCGAATGCAAAATTTAATCCTGAACAAAATGATGTAACATTTAAACTAAATAACGAGAGTCTTTAGACTGTTCCGAATTAAAAATAAAGAATGACATAGGCCTCTCAGAAGAGTCTTTTGTATCGGTTCTTAATTTTTGCTATAAAAATTGTCCTTCGAAATATTTTTTCCTGAAATTGCAAAACATTATGATATGCAGAATTCTACCAAGTATCATGTAGGATATTTCGAATTTCGCAGAACTATTATTTAAATATATTTTTAATAATTGTTTTATTTTCTAACAGATGGAGTTGGACGGCTGAGTCACTGTGAATTTTGTCGATTTTTCGGTAACGAGAAAAACTGATTTGAAAAACAAATTCAATAGTTTTGTAGAGCGAAAAATTCTCTATCGAATGAGTCCAAAACAAAGGCTTCAATGCCTTGGGAAATGCCCTAAAATGAGGAAAGCATTTTGTTCCATTTATTATAGCCCATCCATTATTTTTCCATATATTGTTCCTGTCGAACTGCGTATGACGATTTCTATTACGTGTTAGATACGTCGTAAATAATCGCTCCTTTAGGATCACTATACAGAGTTCCGTAAGTAAATCGCTTTTCGACTGTATACCGTCGTTTACGGACTACTTTATCCGAACATAGGACGACAGAAATCTTTTTCATAATGAGTACTTGAAAGGTTTTTGGTGACCATGTAATGTTAAAAACAACAAAAGACGTTGGAAAACACAAATAATGCCATTATTTGTCATAGATAAATATCTTTTTCGTAATCGGATTCTGGTCATTTTCGATGATTCTTCTATGAAAAAGAATTGATCATTCTTGCAAGTCTCATACAAGTGTAAAAATTGTACAGCAATGATAGCAGAAAAGGACAGAAAAATAATGACAGAAGTTTGATTCGCTCATTTTTGCAGATCTAAACGAAATCAACGGATGGGAAAAGGTCGCCAAGTGTGAATCACTGTTTCGATTAAGAGATATCCTTGTTTGTAGTGCTCGACGAGTTCATTCTATTCCTATAAAATATTTTTCTCGATGGAGCTTAAAACTAGAAAAAAAAACAGTTGATGTAATTATGAAAGATCATATAGAAAACATTGAGATTTTAATGATATTGTAGTTCGAGAGAATTATATAGATATATAACTATTGATTTTTGGTCACTTTTATCTGTCAATTCTCGTAAGAGAAACCAAAAAAATGTATCTTTATGCCTTATTTTTATAGTTATATATATATATAATTCTCTCGAACTACAATATCATTAAAATCTCAATGCTTTCTGTATGATGTTTCATAATTACATCAACTGTTTTTTTTCTAGTTTTAAGCTCCATCGAGAAAAATATTTTAAAGGAATAGAATGAACTTGTCGAGCACTACAAACAAGGATATCTCTTAATCGAAACAGTGATTCACACTTGGCGATCTACCCTCGTAAGACATTCATATTAGAGATATTTATAAAGGTCTCTACCGAATAGAATGGCTTTTTCAACTTGTTCTCAAGGAGAGAGAAGGCGCTCATGTATGTTCCCTCGTGAGATCTAGTCAGATTTGCTGGAACTATTGGAAAACGATTACCACGAAAGCACGAGTAAAAAACTTGGATATAGGTGTGATAAGGCGAAGGCAAGAAGAACACACACTACAGACATATACACATTTAAAAAATATTTTCTTTTGAAAAATTTTTGACAATTAAATATAAATTTGAAGTGAAAAGATTGTCCTCAATGCAAACAGTTTTTATTTTAAGAATAAAACATCGTTTTCTTTTGTTTTTGCTTAACAATTAATAGAAGAACAAGAAATGAGCATGATCAAACAGCTTGTTTGTCAACTATTCTCTTCTCGATGTCACTTAACATCTCTTCGACTTGATATGAGCCATTGTTATATAGATTATGATATTCATCAATGTTTAACATCTGATTCTATTCAATATGAACATCAATCTTTTTGTCTGACTCTTCGTCGTTTATATCTTCGACTTAGATATACACGATGTCTTGAAGATCTTATTGAACATGTGCCTAATCTCGAACAAATATCGGTTCAATTTGATATTTCTTTGAAATTCGATTTATCATGGAAATCGAATATTGAAATAATGAAACAATCAAATGAAAATTGGTTTAATAAAGTAAGAAGAAAAGCTATGTTATCTTTTCTATTTGAAAAATTTTTCACACAAAATATTTTTCTTTTTAACAATACAGAATCTTTTCTTTTTTTAGTTACCAAAGCTAAGATATTTTAGTTTAAAGACTTTCATTGAAGATGATTGCGAATTTATTTATTTGAAATGGCTTCTCAATAATTTAAATTATGTTAAAAAACTTCAACTTTATCTAGCAAATTATGAACTCGACATAAGAGCATCTCAAAATATATGGAAATCTTTTATTGATGCAAATTTTATTCGTCAATATTGTTTACCTGATAGAATAATTAATTTAATTGATTTTGATTTTTATATTTGTTCACACAGTCAATCATTAAATGACATAGAAAAAATAACAAATTCATTTAAAAATCATTCGTTTTTTCTTGATCATCAATGGACAAATGTTAAATGTTTTTTTGATCGAATAATGTCATGTCAACATATTTTTTCTTGTTTCACAAATTCATTTCGTTTTTCTCGTAATCTTATGTAAGATATTTGCCTCTTTATGAAAACTTGAACAACTTACCAATTCAAAAAAATTCTTCTCTTTTAGTAAATATCCAAATATTATCAATTGGCCACATATGGATAATATATGGTCCCGGTTACAACTATCACTATACTTAGTTCTTCAAGGATTTAACCAATTAACTCCTAATGTTTCTTCTATCAAAGTACACACAAGTAAATAGTTTTATCATTTTAATGAGTTTTCTTTTCATCACTAAAAAAGTAAATCAGTGATTAAATTTACATATTCACATTGTTTCATAATAACATGTCATTTAGAATAAAAATGATAATCCAGCTTTATTTTCATATCTTACTCATTTGTTTTGTGAGACACGATTTAAAATGAGTGTGAAAGTATAACGAGCAGAAATTTAGACCCACTTCCTCTCTTTTATGGACGTGACAGATATTCTTAGCAACGATTTTATCACAAACATGACAAAGATCTTAGTAACGACACATGGCATACTTAACAGATTCTAACAGTCTCAGGGCTGTGACCATCGAAGTGCAGAAGGTACATATCCATCACTTTTAGAAAATTGTTCAGTTTTTGCTAGCAAAAATCTTTCTTTTTATCGGAAGAAGAGACTGTCCGGTGGAAAAAATATATTCAACACTCTTATAAATTTTTTAAAAATTGTACATGCACCTTACCAACTCTTATAAAATTTCTCTTGGATTCTTCACTCGTAACACACGATCTAAAAGGAATGTTGCAGTATACGGGTAGAAATTTTGCACCCTCTTCCCTGCACCTGACAGACATCTTAGCAAAGAGTCGTCATAGATGTCCTTAGCAACGGTTTATCACAGACATGACAGACATCACTCTGGTACCATTGCAGACCGTAACAGACATAGTATCAAAACTGAAGTTTCTGACGAAATTATTATGCAAGACGATAGAATTTAAGATGTGTGTCGCTCTGTTTCCACATTCATCTTAGGAATATATAGTAATTGAAAAACTAACACGTAGATTGCTGAATCCTTTCGTTTACAACACAGAAAGTTCGATCGTGTTTCACATTTTAATTTCGCAGGGATTATGCTGATAGCTTTTCTCTTTGTGACATCTCTGAATAGTCGTTATCAGAGAAACGTCACAGATCACAATAGACAGGATCAATAGAGCATCATAGACTGTGTCAGATGCCTTAAGAATAACTCATTATAGACTCTGACAAGCGCTTTAACAACGAACTATTATAGACTAAGACAAATGTCTAAAGTTCCACTTTTACAGTGTCAGCAGCTTCATTATGCTTCATATTTGAATTCCACATGATTTACGCTAACAGCTTTTTTTTATATAGTTTACGCTTTATGTTTTCATCAAAAGATTCGCTGTGATATTCCACATTTAGAAGAGTAATTTTTACTCTTCTAACTACTGATCCATTCATCTTTAGAGAACAGCAGAATTAAAAAAAAAATATTGCGTACAACTTTGTAAACGTTCGCTTTTTTCCTTAATTATCCTCTGAAAATATCCAATTTTCGAAATGAATTCTTACAATTTTGGCGTGTGAGTTTGGTGGAAAAAGTTGCAAGAGAAAAATATCGAAAGCGATAACATCGAAAATGGAAATTGTGTAAAAGGAAAAGATCGAAATCGAAATTTGTGAAGGAAAATGTTGAAATGATTAGTCTATTGCTTATGATGCACATAATCATTTACTATACTTTATTAATTCAGAATAGAAAAGACAAGAGAACACTCACAATATAAAAAGATCTTTTTTTTTCATTTCCATTTAACAATGGTAAACGTGATTATAGTTACATTGTATTGATTTTCTTAACAAAATCTGCCGTGCAGAGTATTAAATATCAATTGAAAAGCTGGTTTTTTTTGCCGATTTGTTTCGTCTGAATAAGTAACTCATATATTAATAATGGTTTACCTCTGTTCATTGTAGCAAACGATCTCTCAGATTCAAGGAAGAAACAGCAGATTTCAGTTCCTTGGAGTTTTGTGGAATCCCAGAGTTCACCATTTTTCTCCGTGCTCAGATTGTTGATTTCTACATGAACTGTTTCCAAAACATGAGTTTGGTGTCATCTCGACTATAAATCTGTTTAATGTTGCATAATTCTTTTTATTTGATAAAGAATAAAATGTACTAGTTGAAGAGTGACCAATAAAAAGAAAAACGACGAAATCTTGTTATTGTCATCTTTAACAGTATTTGACGTTTTCCTCTTCCACATTTTCCTTTCGATCGTTTTCTCAATGTTTTCGTCAATCCGTGACGTGATATGGTCGTCAATTAAGAAATGAATTAATATATTTCAACCAACATATTCAAGTCGATTTAGTTGATGAATTGAGTGAAGAACGTGTCATATCAAAAACATCAGCATTAATATAGGAATTGAATATTTTCAAACGAAAAAAATCAACAACATTTTCAAAGTTATTTAATGGTCATTTTTTCGTCAGATTGTTGTCTAGAAGAGGAAAAAGAGACTTCAAGAGTCCTCATAAGAGTTCTAAAAGTTTGCATAGATTTGAAAAAATTTTATGAACTTCATAGCATTTCATGAGACTCTGAAAGATTTTAGAACTCTATGTGGGTTTACTCATGAAGTCTCTGCTACTGCTGTTTCTCCCTGAGTTGTCTAAAGACGAATGACTCAATAGTTTTCGAGTGAAACTTACTTTTTTTGTGTGGAATTACACAACGAATCTTTGGATAAAAAAAACTAAAGCATAAACTATCCGGGAAAAACGATAGGAAAAAATAGAAAGAATTCATATTGAAAAGGAAAACTGCTTAAGAATGTTCATCTCTCTTGTTTTCTACTAAATCATATCGACAAATGGTAGTACAATATCTAAAATAAAATTCTTTTCTTTTTGAAAGGACGCAATAGAGCTTTTGACGAGTCAGAGCTTCTAATGTCATTGGAAATCTTATCAAATATGAGACAATACCAAGAAGTCGACAATCCTTTTTGCAATGTTACAAAAATTCAATTTGGAACCTATTTTGATCGAATGAGAGGTTAGTGTTGATTTTGTTTTTTCTTTTTTAAGGTTTCACACAAACAAAACTTAGTCTTTATCAAAGCTGGGCAAATCAAAAATGGCTTAAGTCCAATTTAAGTCTGACTTGACTTGACTCGATCGAAAAAATTTCAGATAAGATTTGACTTGAAAATTTTATCAAGTCAAGTCAATTCATATCGAAAGGAATTTTCGTTTATTTAAGACATTTGTTTTGCCATGAAATCGGATTGTGAGACTACAAAAAAGTCATCTCTCACATGAAAGATATTGGCAAATTTCATGTTCTGACTAATTTTTAATCAGACTTGGCTTGATTTGATCAAAAAAATTTTGATCGTATGATTTGACTTGACTTGTGACTTGAAAAATCTCTGATTTGCCCAGCTCTGATCTTCGTTTACATCCAAACAAAACTATTTGTACATTTTTATAATTTCAAATATTACTTAAAATTAGCTTTTCGTTTATAGTAATTGTCATGAAGTGAAATTTTTCTCTTATCTCTTACATATATTATAATTCATCGATATAATGAGCATATTAACATGGACTTTTCGATCATTAGTATTGAGAAGAATTCATGTTATTAGTCATGAAAAACAAATGATTTATGGGAAATATTGATTGATTTCTATCTAGTGTATCGATGAGTATTGAAGCTTTGTATGCGAACTTTGCTCATCATTAAAAAAACCATATTGTATCTGTCAAAGGCTTTCGTTTACTTGGATACATATACACATGGGATGGGATCGGTTATTATTCTGCAGACCATGATCTATATCTTGTTTTGCTCCTTTTCTGCGTCTTTTTTTCCTTTAAAAGTAACCTAGAAATTCATATTTCCCGTAAAAGAACTATAAAAATAAACTTTACAATTCCTGATTTTCTTTAAAAATTTTCTTGCCTACTTTTCTGATTTTCTGATATGTATCGCTGAGACATCTGTAAATTACCTAAAAAATTTATATTTTTTGTTCTCTAATGCATTGAATTCATTTTGAATTTATTCAAATGAAAATAATCAAACACTAGAAATTCATACGATGGAAAAGTAAATGATAAAAAAATATTGTGTAATATGTAATCAGTGTAAAATAGCTTCAAATGTTTCTGGATATCATTTCAATGAACATAAATTTCATTTCTTATGAGAAACACTCTGCAAATATTAAATCTCTTTTCGATCGAGATGATATTTATTTGATGATCACTAATCAGTAATAGATACGTCAAAAGTTGACTTTCAGTTTGAAGATCTGCACAAAAGTTTCTAAGTAGATGAATTGATTAAACGAGTTTTAGTTTTTCTAATATTTCCAAAATCAGAAAATATAAAATAGAAATAAAATTTACTTTTACATGAGACATTTTTGAATATTTCATATCTCAGTAGATAATTGACTAGAAAAGTTACAGCTTGTATAATTAACTTATCTCATTAGTAATTTTGTTAGCGCAAAGTTTGAAGTCGACAGTCAATTTCCAACGCCTGTTAAGGGAAACTAAAGCTTTTTTTCGAAAAACCTGGTAAAATTTTGATATATATAGAACCAAATACCCGAATAACGAAACCATTCTAGACTTTTCTATTACTCATCAAATAAGTATCGTCTCAGTCGAAAAGTACAGTGGAAACAAAACGTTCCGTGACACTTGCGAATCGGTTGTAACTCGTTTTCGTTTAAGTTAATCTGAACTTGTTTCATGTATAATGTATATATATGCTGCAAGCTTCTACATGTTATCGACTGAGCGAAATGGTGTTAGTCCTTGCAAGAAAAAAGGTCATCATAAAATATCTCCAGCGGCAAAAAGTTCCGTGACACTTCCAGCACAGCTCAGTCGTTGATTTTTGGCAATTTGAAGAACACCATTGGAAAGA